CATGCTTCTGAAATTCCCAGTTCAGAATGTTTTTATTTTTTAATTATTTTTTGTTCTGCCATGCAGACCTGCAGAATCAGATGGAGGCTCTTCAAAGGAACTACTCCAGCCTGACCACTGGTACTGCTCAGAAGCCTTCTGGGGGTTTTCCTTCAGAGTGCCCAGCCATTAATAAAGGGAGTCCCAGGGCTTCCTGGTAGAAGCACCAGTAATGGCACTGGTGGGCTGCGTGAATCGTTTCATCCATCCAATCAGTTTTGGTTCGAGCCCGGGCCATGATAGTAACCAATCTTGACCAGAATTCCCCCAAGTGTTTGTGTCGACCTGGACAAGTTGAGATCACTGGGATTAAGGTGTATGAGGTTCTCTCATAGTTTGGCACATAGGGACTCCTGTGTGGACACCTGTAGACTGAAGGACATGAGGAGCTCACAGTGAGCTCTGAGAGGTGGGTGTGTCAGAGGCACAAGTCCAAAAATCCCCATTGTCCCCATATTGGCTCAGGAGTTGCTTTCAGAAATAATGGCCTTTTCCAAGCTGGGTGGGAACAAAATAGAGAATGTAATTGTAACCCCCAAATCAGAAAAGGTAACCTATAAAGACTCCTCTTTTCATTGGAAAGGTATATTGTCACAACGAAATGGGTTTCATCCTGGAAGACTTTACACATTTATTTTTAGGTTCTCTGAAGTCCTGTAAAATAAGCCTGCTACTGAAACATATTTACTTGAAATGCTGATCCTCGTTAAATTACACCTTTGGCTTACTGCAGAGACATGGCAAGGTATTTTGCAGAATGTGCTTTATGCTCAACCAAAGGAGGAGGTCTAGTGGTATTTTTAGCACAGAACAGGGTGTCAGTGTAGCTTCTTAAAGGACCCAGGGTCGTGTGCAGAAGGTGTGAACGATGACAGCCTGCTTTCATTGGCTTCAGAGCTACAGCAGAGATGGCCCAAAGAGAGGAACAGCTCCTACCTTCAGGGCGACTGTCCTAGTTTGAAGACTTACTTCATGGCCGTGATTGAACACTACCTCCCCATTGAGAAATGCTTTCCCATAGACACCACCAAGACTGGTAAGCATTTCAGTGTATACAGTATATTGTCCAACTGTAGGCAATTCGTGACAGGCATGTGCTTGATTCAATAATTCCTTTAGAACAGTTTTGAGGGAAATTAGTATGTGTAACGGGAGCCGGTCCAGGCTCCCGCGAAGCGTCGTTCAGGACCCTGTGCAGACGGTATAATCCGGAAGTAAGTGGAGAAGGACATCCGGGGAAGGAACAGCAGGAATGGACGGGTAGAAAGACAGGGGGGCGTGACTACGGTGATCCGGTGCTTGGGGGGCGTGGCAAGGGCAAACAGGTCCAGACAGTCCGAAAGGGGGAATCTGGGGTGCAGTCCAAAGTCCAAAATCCATCCAAGAGAAAACAGAGTTAGAATCGGGAACAAGGACAGGGAATAAAACCAGGATAACGAGGCGAGGCGTTCCGGACTCATGTGGTCAGGACACCATGATGAAGCCTATGCCGTCAGGTCTGTCCTGGACTTCCGGGTGTCCATCTGCCAATGCTGAGCCAGGAATAGTGGGAGTGCCAGGCTTAAATAATGACAGACAAAACAGGGGGCAGGTGCACGTAATCAACTAAAATACGAAAGGGTCGGAGCGCCCTTAAGAGGAGGGATCCCGATCATGACACTATGTTCTTGAGCTCTTTCTCATTGGTGTTCTTTTTTTCTTGCAGTGAAAAGCACATTCTCTGAATTATCAAGTAAGTCTGAATAAGTGCCTTCTTAATTTGTTGGTATACACAGCCTGATGAAATCTTTATCGGAAACATGATTGATCCTATACGGTGAGGCACTAAAACGCAACAACTGAAAATTGGAACCAATAGCATCTGTTGCCTTTTTAATGCCTCCTATTTGGTTATTTCTAAGCTCGGCATGAAATGAAATCCAAAGAACAAAATATAGCAAAGTTCTACAGAATAAAAAACATCATTTTGGAAGACAGTAGACTCTAAAGCTGGTTATCACTATGTTGCCCCATTCGAGAGCAGCAGATTCTAATCCAAGCATAATCACTGCTAAAACCAGGTACAGTCATAAAATGCACCCATAAAATCTATAACAGAGTTCCCCAAAAATACATCCCCTTGGGGGAAAGACACTCAGGATATCAGGAATCTGGTCACAGGGCAACAGTTGAGCAGTCAATTGATGGAGCCTTACCTTTCTAACCCAAAGCCAATCGAATATTACCTCTGGGAAATAAGATGGTATATCACTGGCTAAATAGTGGATCTGCCTGCCTAGATCCTAGAATTCATTTTTATTCTTGTTTCCACCTCCTCGCTGATGTACACATACCTCCAGCAAATACGGAAGTAGACAAAAATCTACCCAAAACCATCATTGAACTTAAAACGCTTTCTGTACCCACAGGAATGAATGGTGAAGTCTTGACAGTAGGTAAGGTACTGGAAATGCTCTCGGTCCTGGAATTCCACTGATTTTGCTTAAAAAAAACCTTTGCTTTTTCCTCTTTGCACACCAATCTAACGACAACAGTCACTTCCTATTAACATCCATTCTGCACGATGGATTGGACTAAGGGCAAGACCTTCAGTTGTAGTCCTCTTGAATCTAGAGTCAGAGAGTCACGTAATTGAATGCAATGCACTGTGTTAATCATTGTCCTTTTCTTCCAGTGTGGAAGTGGATTCGGAATGCATCAGGTACCGGCATTTAGCTGAATCTTTTTTGCCTGTAGAGCACATATTTTCCTCATGCAATACTTTGTGTGCCTTGACAGAGAGACTTTCTCATTGTTCATTTCAGAAGCTATAGCTGAAAGGCATTTACATAGAAGGTTAAAATAAAAGGTTTAAGTTTCTTATTTAAGTATCGGATGGAGACACTAGACTTAGGTTAAAAGTCTCGCCCTTCAGATGAGATGTAAAACTGAGGTCCTGACTCTGTGGTCATTAAAAATTGCAGGGTATTTCTCAAAAAAGAATAGGGGTGTTACCCCAGTGTCCCGGCCAAATTTC